GAAAAATTCAAACTGCATTAAAAAATTATGAGTGAATCTTGAATTGAAGCGTCACACTGCAACCATAGAAACAGCTGATGATGATTGCTGTGCTAACCCACGAACACCCAGCCACAGTTACTACTGTATCCACATACACTGTTTAATTTTCTTAAGCCCTGATGAAGGGGCGGAGCTGTAGCCACCGAAATGTGTTGATTTTTTTTCATTGGAATAAACCTGTATTTGGACATGAATATCATGGTCTGGTGCTTTATTCTAGATTCACCCATCCTTATCACAACTCAAGATGGTTGTGGAAATCCTTTTGTGTGTAGAAGCTGCTAGCCTAGTATTCATAAACCCTATATTAACTCCACCCCATACTATAGAATGATAATAATATTAATATAAAAGAAATATAAAACAATTCAGGGTTCCAGAATCATCCATCCACTTTCCCCAGCATTAAAACATGTCTGTAAATAATAATGCATCCCTGAGAGATAGCTCTACATTACAGTATACTTCTACTTTCGCAGCCAAATTGGGATAACACCAATTTGATATTTGTTGCATGTTCCCATTTGCATAGCATAAGCTAAAAAAATGTTTAAAAAAGCTTCTTGCAGTTTATATTTCTTTTACCTGGGTTAGGATTTCTTGGCCTCTTAGGGGTGAAAATATTTACTTGCTTTTTTGTAATGTTAGGAAGGGTTTTGAGGGATAAGGGGTTAAAGGATTACAACCGTGGCTTGTTCATTCAAATGTTAATGAAGTTATAGAGAGAAACACAATCCTCAAATTTCAGTCCTAAGTCTTTCTATAGACAGATCACTGTGAAGGTGCTCAGAAAAACCTGGAATCAGCCATGTTGCCTGCAGCAAAACATATGAATGGTTAGACATATTTTTTGGTATGTTGTGTGAATAAGAACACATAACAAACATATAGTGAGGTTTTCTCAATTTTGACTGCAAACATTGAAATACACTTTAAGCTTATAAGGCTCAATCGGGCCTAGCAGGTAATTCTTCAACTTCTAACAAAAATGCTTTTACTAACACTACTCTGTTTAATTAATATGTGATCTATTATTTTCAAAATATTTGAATGAAATGCAGCTATTGAAATTTGCATAAAAATATTTATTCCTTAAAGGAGAACTATGGAGTCAGGGCTTTTTCCCATAGTTCTCCTAAGGGTAACAGGAGGACACAAACTAGCGTCCTCCCATCACCCAAAGCTCAGTATACAATGAGCTACAGCTCACGGTATACTGAGACGCTGCAGCTGGGACGCATCCCGACATTACTGTCGAGATCCACCTAGCATGCGTGATTGACAGCTGGCTCTGCCTATCTAGAGGCAGAGCCAGCTGTACCCTCCCCTCCCCCATCTGTTCCGCCAGTCAGCACTAAAGGATCGGACAGGGGAGGGGAGGGATCCCTGCAGGGAGCCGTGAGTGACAGTCACGGCTCTCTGCAGGGATAGATCGAGACGTTAGCGAGCGACGCTATGTGTTCGCTCACTTCCCGATCTATTGAGCCGGCCTGTGACAGTTTCAACACTAGAACTATGAGGCTGAGTGATTTTCACTCGCCTCATAGTTCTCCTTTAAAACACATCTGTGTTTTGCTAAAGCAAGGCTAAGTAATGGGTTATTCTGAAGTAAAGATGAGTATGTGCTTTTGGGGAGGTAGGCCGCACCTAGAACAAATTGCTTTGCCCTGTATAAACAAAGCAATAAACATGTGTGCTTTAATTTAATCTTTTCTAAGAGAATCATTGGGGCACCATTGCTTACCTTTTTATAAAAATGCTTGTTGCCTGGCAGTTATAGAAAAGTCCTTATGTGCATACTTGTGCTGGGTTAGTAACTCAAATTACTGAAGTCAGTGGCTCAGCATGACAGCCAAGCATCTAACATTTGTAGGATGAAAAATCGGAATTTGTAGCCTTTATGTTTCTGTTGGTCCGTGGCCTATACAGCACATATATTTACTGAATACGTAACTTGAAGTTGACATTTTGTTAGCAGTCAGCTTTTAACCAATACCCTTTTAACATGCTGCAAACCAGACATATCTCAACACATAATTACTCTTGACTGAGTCGTAGTTATGATTAAAAATCCTCACCATATTCTATGAGCATAAATAGAAAGTAGAAAATAGAAAGTAGAAAGAGGGCACGTAAAATGTGTTTTGTTGCATTATATATTAAGACAGCAGATGGCTCTCTTGAGTTTTCTTTGAAATATAGAGGATGTGTTAGCACTGTAAACCTTTATTACAAATGCAAACCTGAAAAATACTCCTTTGTTTAATTATAAACCCATCGTGTCTCGGTAGAAGGGTTGTGTTGAAGTCATAGCTGGGTTTTAAGCTCAGAACTGAAAAAGCTTTTCTAAATAATAGTTGGCTTTAATATATACATTAATTTAAAGATACTTCCTGTAGTAACATATTACCCTTTATTGTAAGGTTGCCATATTCACATTATTCTACTTCACTGCAACAATGAGTATTGGTGGGATGGGAAAAGACAGTGAGCTGTCCATGGTGCTTATCTAGACTTCTATACTGTAGCTTGGTAAGACATTAGGCACTGCAGTTGGACACAATAACTGGGCACAATGGCTTTGTCAGAGAAACTACATCTAACAAATATTATTGCGTGTTATTGTTGTGGGTTTTATATGCCTCTTATGTGTATTTATATTTACTGTTTTCATTGTGAGCTCAGTTGTGTGCTTTGGGCTCTGTTGTTAGTGTATTCAATCAAATTTATCATGTTGAAAATTTACATAGCAATTAGATCATTGGTAGTTGTTTGTTAGCACAACACTGACCTGTTGCAATTGCCTAGTTATTGTGTTTTTTATTGTGTTCTTTTTTGCTTGAATGATACCAGTTCATTATTGCATATTACAAAGTAAGAGCGTTACTGCTGGAACAGATGTGGACCCTGCCAGTAGTATGGGGAGATGAGAGTATAGCCAAGATAAAACAGTTTAATATGATTCATTTACTGACTAATTTATTAAAGAAGTCATTTGGCTGAGCTTTATTGTATATTTTGTCATTATGTGTTGATACTTGGTTGTTATTTAGTGGGTTTTCACAAATGCTGTTTACGATATCATTAAAACGACCCATCCAATAATGAGTTTATTAAGCGAGGTTAAATTAACTGTGTAAAGCACTATGCCTCATACCACTCAACAGATACTGAATGAATCACTATGCATTCCCTGTTTATTTTCAAATCAGAGGCGTATTCAACAAGGACAGGAGCGATGTTTAAGAGACTATTGGAAAACATGATATTAATGTTACTGATCTGACTTTAGTAAAATTACTGCTGTTTTGGGTTAATGCAGTTTAAACAGTAGCATTGCTCATTGCACTATTAGGAAGAGTGGGGTGTCACATTTGGTGGATGATGGGCAAAGAACATGCAATATTAAACATTATAAATCAATAAATACTAGTAGAATTTGGTATAGGTAATATCCAGCATCCTGGAAATGTGTCACTTATGTGTGAAATTGTTCCAAAAACAGCATTACACTAATAATCACTATGCATATGTATTTTATTGTAGTATAGTAAGAAAGAGAAATATTAAAGGTTAAGAAATAACACCACTACTGGAGCTCAGCTTCTTTAGCAATTGTTCAGGGAAAGGTGCATGCTACAAAATATATTTTGCTCTTCTGTAAAATTATTTAGATGATGATGATGATCTCTGGGCATATGAATATAATTTTTAAAAAATGAGTTGAAGGGAAGATTCTCACCACTACTAGCACTCATTATTGTTTAGAACAAGGTGCATTGAATGATTCTTTATTACTGAAAGACAAGATACACCAGTGTATAATCAAAAACATATATAGAGGTGATCAGAGATATTATTAAATACACAGTGATATCATGATATAGCTTATATTAAGGCACCTGAAACCTGTAGCTCTTCACTGGTATGCATGAGATTGCACCAGATCAATTTACAGATTTGAATATTTTGTGTTTTCTGATTGCATAACAAATTTAACGTGGTCACTCTTTAAATTTGGAAAGCTTGTGTCTACCGGGGAGAACACAAAGGTCACAAAGCATGCATTCAGCTATAAGTCTTCATCATACTGTTTAGAATTTGTATGCATCTAGGAAGGCTTTTCATCCACAGACCTCTCTGCCTCCTTTTCTGCAGCCGCTCTGTGTCATTCACACATTTATCACAGTGGAACATGTAAATAGGACAAACTAGGGAGGGCAGTCAGGCATCTGAAATTGCACACAGATTGATGAGGAGCTCTTAGGACTGAAACTATTGGTGTGGGTAATTTTTCACATTTATGGCACTCTTATCAAAACCCTGTGTTCCCCCTGCGTGTGATGGTGTAAGACAGAGGTGTCTGGGGATGACACTCCTGTGTATTTGATCTGCTAAACTTGCTGGCTTTTCTCCTGCTGTTGCTGTCAGAAGCTTCACATCCTGTCATTCTCCATTCAAAGCGACCATCTCTTGTCTGACATTCGTATATCGCTAGTGGGATCATCACACAGTGAATGCCTAATGCTGTGCTTCTGATGCCTGTGCACTTAATTCCTGGTGTTTCCTCGTGCATATATCTTTCACCTTCCTCCATTGTCACTACAGAAATTCAATATATTTTAAGCACCAGGAGGGATGTTTATGGAACTTAACAGTAAGGAGAGGTAGTTTTGTGCCTGCTTTCAGCAATTCCGGACACTTGTTTCCAAAGGAACAAAAAAAAGAATGGCAATACAAGAGACAGTTTGGCTTCTGCTGGAATAAGCTCTCACCGTTCTCTGCAAGCAGTAAAAGCAATACAGGCAGAAGATTGCTGTTAAGCATGCTTAATTTCTAGTGAGAAAAGCATTACAATCAAGAACACCAACTGAGCAAGAGGCTTGGATCTGTTATAAACTAGCAATTTCTCAAGAAAATTGCACAAAGCTGTTTTTTTTTTGTAAGAAAGGGGAGGAGAGAAGAGGAGGGGGATGATTTGATTAGAGAATGTGCAGGAAAGAAGATTGCCTCCTGATGCTGTTTCACATGCAGTGCTTCTTGGTGCTTGAAATCACATAGGATCAAGAAGCATGGACTTGCAGAGATGCAAGAGAGCATCAGTTCAAGGCTACTGAATCGGATGTTTCAGCTTTTGTTTACCTGCTGCCTGTGACCATGCGAATGCCAGAGAAAAGCCAGCCTCCCCATTCTTTTCCTCCTCCTACCCCTTCCTCCTCTGTTTAACCATCTTCTTCACCCTGATTTTTTCAGCTCACTCGCAAAAGAGAAGCAGTCATTGTCTGGTGTGTGGATGGCACTGAGGAGCCAAGCTAAGTCCCCCTCTCTGAGTTTAGCCCTGCCACCAAGCATAGATGCCAGTTTCTTCAGTGGAAGAGGTGAGAGAAAGCTGCTAAAGAAGTTCTGCTTGGAACATACCAACACTTTAGCTTTGTTTCTTTCTTCTACCTATATGTATGTATAAATAGATATATACTTACATATACTGCATGGTATCTCACATGTATACAGCTCCTGATAAAGGAGCGATCTGTTAGTTGTCACAGTCCATTTTTCTTATCATCCACTTCTCTACTGGTTCTCTGAAGTGATCCGGCACAGGGAGGAGAGGGATGCTCGGCTCTCTCCAGAGGGGCTGAGCCCCTTGGCTTGCTTCTCTGTGTCCTCCACAGACTGTGTTTATCTGGGTTCTCTCAAGCCTGGTGGGGTGTCCCACCAAACTTTCTGCCAGCCCCTCCCTCTCTGAGGTTCCTAACCCGTTAAGGGTGTGCGGGAGGTGGCATGGCAGCAGCTATCGCAAGTGGACTGATCCGTCAAAAGCGCCAGGCAAGGGAGCAACACTTGGACCGACCTTCGGCCAGCAAGAGGCGCAGCAGTCCCAGCAAAAACCGAGGCCTGTGTAATGGCAATCTGGTGGATATCTTCTCCAAAGTGCGAATCTTTGGCCTCAGGAAACGAAGGCTCCGGAGGCAAGGTCGGTTGGTCTGTGTCTGTGGGATGTATTTATAATTACCTCTACATTTTTTTTCCCCCTGTGTCTATGTGCCCGATGGAAGTTTCTGTCCACCATTCTCTTCGTCTTTCTGTGTTTTGTTGTTTGGTTGTGTTGATGCCGTTCTGCCTTATTTTTCTTTTGACTGAACTGATAAGTTGCATGTAATCGGTGTTCAAGCAGTGGGAATTCTCATGTCTTATACAGAGCTCATATTAAGGAGAGGAATTGTACTGCAGGCGCCTCCAGCAACAGGGTTAATGCAAGTGCTATTAATGCTCTTTGATGTATATGTTAACTTCCAATTTCAGCATTTACTCACACAACGTATATTTAAATGAAATAGAAGAGAAGATAACAGTGAATGTTTGAATAAATCAGATAATGGGTATTAATATATGTGCTCTAAATCCTTAGGACCATAGTATTGCAACCCTTTGCAGCAATATCTCCCTTCTTTGCATAAAAAAAAGAATGGTGACATATTTGTTTGATAGACTGCCCGCCAGTCTATTGTAAGATCTACTTCATATTCCACATACAAAAAAAAAATGCACCAAGGAGGGATGGTAAACATTATATGCTATTTTAGATTTTGAACATTATATCAGATAGCGTTGAAACGTCTTTTTTTTTTTCATGTAGATAATTCACGATGGCCTTTATTGCAGCTAAACTAATTACATACAATTTGTATGGGCGCTTAGATAGAAATGTTTTAGTTTTTAGCAAATTAATTCTTAGACGTACCCTGAGATCATCTTCCTGGACTAGGAAACTCAGAATAGCACTCTTCAAGTTTAAGTTACATTCATAAACATATCTGAGCAAGTAGTTTTAATTTTTGCAAGGACACAATGAAGGGCTTAAAAACATTCATTAAACATTCTGCTAATGACTGTACACTCTTTAGAAGTATTTGAAATAAGCAGATTATTACAGTGGGATTGCTTATTAACAGTTTCTGGTTTAGGGGTACATTATAAAATCGAAATGCTATTCTATAAATTGAAGATTTGTTTGTGTCTCCGCCATGCACTTACTTTATATTTACGTTCTCAAAATTGCAATAGTAGTAACAGATCTGTAGTATTTGCATGTAAGGCGAGACTGAACAGTCAGTACATTCATTACATAATCGCATAACCTTTGGTGGCAACACTCCAACAGCACAGGTTGCTAATTATGTATTCATTCCATGTTAGCAATGGTACACAGTTCTAAAGCACTCATAAAATGACTATTAGCTATTACTGTTGCAAACTACTAAGTACTGAGCCTGGTGGATTGAGTAGCACATATGTTTTGGCAGTGTTATACTATACCTTGGAATAAGGATCATTCTTCATGTGGGGAATCTTATACTAATAGTACGACCCTGGGAAATAGGATGGATTTATATATTTTGTAGGTAGCTAGGGAGCTAATCTATATTCATCATGGTTATTAATATATTATGCATCCAATGTGAACACAACTAGATCTGCTTTGGGCCGGATGACAACTGAGTTCCATTATGAAACATCAGAGACTGAAAAATAAGTATTTGTTTCTATAATCCTTTTGCTAGACATATATACATATTATATTTGTAATTATGCTTATGTATATGTTTAAATATTCAACAATATCACATAGAACACGAGTCCTTAGATTTTATATGTAACCTATAAAACAGTTCAGTACAAGCAGAACATCCAACTGAATGTAACCACTTAAAAGCCATATTAGTGAATATAAATTGTGTTAGTGAGCAGAGAACATTCAACAGACTTAAAGTAAAAAAAAAGCCAATGTTAATCTTGGACCACTGTACTGTTCAGCTTTAAAGGACAAATGCTTTACTTGTGTTGCTATGTAGATTATTCTTAAACATATGTGTCTTCTTCATGTATACAAAACTATTGTTTTATCATTTAATTTTTGAATAGTAAACATTCCTTTTGGTGCATCCTATTAAAGTTTGATGAGCAAAAATTTTGATTTAAAAATTTCGATAAAAAAATAAATTAAAAAATAAAATAAAAATAAATAATAAATAAATTAAAAAAACACACAAAATATATATATATATA